TACACTTACGTAAAATAGTTTTATGCGGAACTGTTACAATCCTGTAGAAATTAGTAACTAACAGAAAAACAGAAGTCGTATACAAGGTGTGGTCGCTCAAAAAGACAGGTATATGTATCTTCAACCAAAATAGTAGTGTGTTCTTGCTCTCTTCCGTACACAGGCGCGAGGTTTGCTTCTCACCGTGTCCGCAGCGCTGCTCCCACCTCTTTTCCCGCTATCGTCAGCTTCGCCATCACTCGAAATGAAAACGTCCGCAGACCCGTCGACTTCACGCGGATCTTCGTCGACGTTTTCACGGGTTTGGATCACAGTAGAGCCCCCTGATTCCACACCTAGAGAACAGTCGCTCTGGTTACCGTCGCGCGATGCCACCTCGTTTATTTGCCCTTCCAAATCATTGAACCCATCCATATTAATCCAAGCGAATTCGTTTAGATATCGCGTAGCTGTAGGCCTGACAATTTGTCGTTCTTGATATGCCAATCGGAAGTGCGAATTGGATTTCTTTGCGTTGGTTGTAAACTCTTTGAGCGCCGTATTAGCTTCGACGACCGCAGCGTTCGTGACCGTAGCAGTTTCCTTGGCTTCTGAGTCTGTATGTAATCCGTTATGAAGCAGCAATCTCGTAGCTCCCATCGAATCACTCACGTCGTGAATAATGCTCAAAAGTTTTCTTCGTGATTCCGCACCGACAGCACTGCCAACCAAGCCTCCTAAACAATCTACAACTGCTGCTGCGCGAAATGCCACAAGTTGAGAGTTATTTTCTCTTACCGCCATAGCCATAGCGGTTAACTCCGCTGTTAGGGCGGAATTTATCACCGCGCTAGTTAATTCGTCATGTGACTGGATAAATTGGCCAAACGCACGGTCGGTTCGTGCTTGTGAGCTGGGCTGGGCCGTTCGTATAGGAACTGCGTCTTGAAGGACGGTAGGTGTGTCTGCAGACCTTCCCCTGTATGGGTAACAGGACGGATCACTGCGGCTGTCTTGAATGCCCTGTGGGTAATCGTCCAGGTTGAAACCGGGGTCTTCAACGTCTTGTAGGTGACGGTCGCGCTGTGGCTGTGACAAGCCTAGCCACTTCTCTCTTAGAGATTTTCCTTGGCGATCCCGCAGCCATCGCTCCGTCGTTACGCGATCGTGGGCTCCATTGAGTTCCTCAGTAGCGAACAGTTTTCCTCGAGGCGATACGGCCGGCGGCGACAGTGTCGTGATCCAGTTATAGAAGCCTTTATGCGCCCTCATTGAGGCCGCCCACTTTTGGTGAATGAATGGTTGCTCGGTGGCGTCGTGTTTTCAAATTTGGTGTGTTAGTGACCTCACTATTGTTTTGTTTATGTCTCGGTGCTCCAAAGTTCGGTGCTCCGTAGTTTCTCCCCTCGGCTGGGATGCGCGAACCTTCATGCAGCGAAGGCGAAAAGGTTCACTTGCATGAAGTAGCGCTTCCATTCGTATAATCAAAGGGTAGGTTTATGATGCTATCTTCATGTTAGTATTTTATACCTAACCCTATCTAGACGTCTGTTTGAGCTGTGATTGTGATAAAATGGAAGCAGCTTCCGCTCATCTTTGAGATTGTATGCTTTCTGTGTCGGAAGCAACTTCAGGCTTCCCAAATAACAATTGATGCAAAGTCTGATTGCTTGACCAATGAAAAGATAGTCTTAGTCAATATTGTCCAATAAAATGAAGAACCGTGTATTAATTTTCGATCACAACTTAAGTAATGGTGACAAATTATTAGAAGACTCTCGGTAAGACAAAATCTACAGCAAGACATTAAATACTTGAAAAACATGACAAGATAATAGATACTACGACAAGACTAGATGTACGTGACAAGATTAATAATACTAACACAAGACTCAATGTACTATAACAAGACACAATATACTAAAACAAGACTCG